GAATATAGCTTCAGGATTTTCTGAACTCACCCGATCATGCGGCCTCACCATCCGGTGGACGATCAGTTGTTTGTCGATTTGAGTCAACAGGAGGAGGTAAATTTTTAAGCTTTTCCTGACATAGGGTATAGATGGATATTTCGTCCCAGATGCGTTTAAATCTTCCAAATGTGATACAAGAGTTCGATCGAAGGGTGGATTGAATTCCAAATTATGTAGTTCCAACGAAGTTTCGAAAATATAGCTTTCGTTCGAGAGCCTCTGAAAAACTCTTCCAAAGATGTATTAAAAGTAAACAGAGCGTGAATTTTGCTGTGCAAAAGAGAATCGGCATACTTTTCGTGCAGTTTGAAATTATACGGGGATGAACAAAGAGAGTTAGCAAAGGGAAATTGTTAAATATTATTCACAGCATTGGGAAGGACTCTACAAGAGCTTTTGGCTAATGTAACGAGAACCCATGTCTTTCCTGCGGTCAACGAGAATAAAGATTTTGAAGTGAAATCAAAGTCTGGAAAGCGAACTTATCGTAACTTTAGGATATGTGTCAGAGATTTTTCTGTTTTGTTTCTTTATTGCCGGATGTTTCTCGACAGCACAGCGCCCCTTTTCAGGTTGGGGTTATTCTGCTCATTCGATTGAAGCTATCCAAGTGAAAGCAAGCAAAGACATACGATTGCTGGGCATCGGCTTATACGGAGGACGTGGCGAGTACATTGCAAAGTAAGTACTTATCCATACATTAAGCTGTGACATTGATCAGGATTTCTAAACAATTAGCTATATTTTAGGATAAAGCTTTTTCGTCTTCCAAGTGACGTCTCAGATGAGCAGTGTGCGGAGCTTCTGTCAGAGTCCGATGAGACGTTGTACGACTGTGGCCAGCGAGAAACCGCTGCTTTGATGTTAGCTCAACCCGTGCTGGTGAAAGCAAACCATTGGCATGTTGTCAGTGCTAAAATCAGGTAAGCAAGGAGGGTCTTGCGCTTGACTCGAAACAATACACTGCCCTATTTCAGTGGTCCCTCATCTGACTGTGGAGCCACGGGCAGACGAGTAGTGGAATGCGACGATGTAGTCTTTACGTTTCGAAACTCTGCTATATCTAACAACGGAACTGACGTAAACGTGGGACAAATTCCGGAACTGTACTATCAGGTAAACCCTCGACTTCTTCATTACTGCTCACCACCGGAACTGTGCGCAGGTTTCTTGGATTATCAACTAGCGCAATGTGTGAACTTTTGATAATTACTGAAACATCTCAAAGCCGGCTTTCCCAACCATCACTGCAAAAATTGTTCCCTTTTTTTTGATCAAGCACATTATTACATATCGCACAAAAGTGGTGAAAATGCTAGCAGTCTATATTTTTCGTGAGAATAATGTGCTGCCGAAATCTTCTTTGGAAGTTAATTTGTATCATAGAAGCTTACGAAAAAAAGTTAAATGGACGTGTTTTTTCGTAAAACCGAAGATATTCCAATGGTGTTTCTCAAAATTGCTTTAGTAAACTCAGAACAATGTAGTAAAATACGCTCAAAAGTTACTCCCTTTCCTCCGCCTCTTTCTGCTGTTCTGCGTGTTTCAAACCACTTTTTCCGAGGGGTCCTTAGTCACGAAAAAAATTGATTAGAGTAAAGCTGTTCTCTTTGTTTTCTTTTCCTCTTTGACACTTACCTGAAGAGGAACGCTTATCAAAAACTTTAGAAGGGTGGTTGAGGATAAACTTGACTTTGTAAAGGAAAAAGATGTACACTGCAATATTTTCGATTGGATCGATAAGCTATATGCTTAGTCGTGATTTTGCATTCTAATGAAAACATTCCACAATTCAACCATTTAGGTAGTGTCCTCTTCTGGCGAAGGTGGTTCAAGCGATGATGAAAAGCCGGATGAATAGTCAGTTGCCAGCTGATGTTTCCTTTTGCAAATGCATCATCTGATTTTCAGCGCCAGCTCCAGACTGTTTTCATCCACATCTATGGATACAGTATCACCGTGCGCATTTCTTGCTCTACTTCGGGTGCTGGATTGGTCACTTTCTCGCGTCTTTGAATTTCATTGTGAAGGAGATCAACGATTATGGAATACGGAACGAGCAGCGGCCACATCGCTGATAGTTATGCGGATACTAAGGTTCAGTTAATTCCTAACGACTCAAACAATAGTATAAAAAATTTATTACAGTAGATACGTCCTTCTCGTCTACGATAACAGCAGTGAGGGTGACGAACCATCCGCGGCTTTTGCTGATGCTGTCGTTCTACTACATTCGGCACTATTATCGTTATTTGATCGTGCAAATGACTGTATTCTGGAAGAGGTGAGTGTATCCGTTTTAGTACCAGAGCGTACGATCAACCCACAGTAACTCGGGATGTAAAAGGCGGGTTGTGGCATATTAATCGACAAATCCATATTTCATAACTACATATTTTCAAATAATGTTCGCGAGATCGGATTTTGATTTTCGGAAATTGAATATTGTGAGGAATCGAAAAATCATAGCATGTTAAAAATCAAGAGTTTTCATTGAATTGCCGCAATGGAAAGTTCGTGGCAAAAGCGTCGCGTGCTCATTTGAGAAGAATTTTTTACATTCCTAAATGTAATGGAATAATAAAGATAGGATTAATGAAACCCTCCCTATTCGTTTTTGGAAAAAATCTATCTGAGCGGAATTCGGAGCGCGACGCTTTCGTCCCGATTTCTTTGGGCGATTCTATGAAATTCTCCTTGGTAAAATTTAATGTTGAAACTTTGATAGTTTGGATTCCCTGCTTCATTCCCTTTCCAAAAAATCTGATCATACGAACTCTTGACAACGTTATTGAGTTCTTAGGGTTTTGTCAAGATTTTTACGTTGCAGCCCGTCT